CTCTTTGAGAAGCTTCTTTCTCTCTCTCTCTCCCCCCCCCCCGGCTACATCTGGTCTCCTCGGGGGCCGTTGCTGGCGGCGGTTGAGGGCAGCAACCGCAGAAGGCTTTGTCCTCATTGAAGAGCAGCTGAAGCAACAGGAAAGCCGAGCCCAGTCGGTCAATTAATTGATGGAACAATTTTAAATTACGAGGAGGCTCTTGGCAGGGGGGGGATGTTTACAAATGACGTGCGATGATTGCTCGTTACGTTCGCCCTTTGACTCCTCCACTCCACGGGTTCTTCTCTGGTCCTTTGCCGCCGTTGTATTTGTTTTCTTTCACGTCTTGTTGAAACGTTTGCTCAGAGTGCACGTCCACGATGAGCCAGTAGAGCCAACAGTTCCCCACGTGCAGCTAATCACCGTGTATTTACCATGTATCCTGTCTGAACACCCAGATGAAGCCCAAATCACTTCCATACAGCCACTCTGGTTGAAAAGGGCTCCAACTGAGACCACATGAAGGGACTAAGAGGCCACATTAAAACGGTCTTGATCACCAGGCCCGGGTGCCTCCGCAGCCCCATCTGTGGGGGGTTTCTTCTTCGATTACCCAACAGCCAAAGAACCCCCCCTAATCTGTAGACTACAGTCAGACCAAGCTGCATTGAAAAAGCGAGGACTCGCGCAAAAAAAAAAAAAAAAGGAGAGACCTAAGCCTTTCACTCAAAGCCGCACAGAGGGCCAGTGTGAGACCCCGGGCCTTTGTTGCATCTTCAAAATAAGTCTGCTTTATTCTCAGGCAGCATCTGTGTCCATTCAACCGCCGGCCCTCTTACAAGGGGAAGGAACGGGGACAATTTGCAACTATTTAATCACAAATGAAAGCACTGACCCTCTTATTTGGAGGATCGGCTGCAGCGCGGCGAAATCCTGTTCATTTGCAACAGCGGCTGATTGACAGAAAAGACAGACAGCGACCCACAAAGAGAGTGCATCGGACAGGAAAAGAATCAGTGATGAAGCTCGGTTAGTGTGGGTGGGAGTGGAATACGCTTTGGACTTGTCTGCTTTGGACTGGTGGGGGTGGGGCTTACAGTCGGAAAGAACAGGGGTGACTCAGAGAGGAAGAGGTGGGAATGCGAATGGAGAATTCGAGGGAATCCCACTGAGATAGCTCTCTTCGTTAGTCTGCAGCGCGCCAAAGAATTCAGACGAGCAAACCATGTGCTGAACAGGTCACATGTGAGCTCTGAGCTGATACACAAAGAAGGCCAATCAACGCCCAGAGTCTGAATCAGAGCAGAAAATCAATCAAACATCAAGTTCATTTATCAGTCCGTTGCACGTCTTTCTGGGCAGGAAGTGTATGCAAAAGGGGTAAAGACAGAACGTCGATGACTCTCTCCGATTCTTTTTAAGGAGTCTGATTTCACTTCTGTGTGGCGGACAGCTTTGTGACTCACAGACGGATTGAAAAGGATGCGTTCACTTGTCTGCAATCACATTGGAGGGAACCAACTGTGACTTGGCATCCAGCTGCGCGTCGTTAAATTTACAGTTGCACGAAAAGGCGGTGCAAAATGACACCGGGAGCTATGTCTGCAAATTCACGAATGATTAGACAAAAAGCAACGAGCCACACCGCAATGATGCAACTCCTGGCCGGGCGGATCATGACGTGTCGCTCCATTAGCTGTGTTTGTGTGTCACGTAATTTAGGAGTGATCTGCTGTCAAGTATAATTGAAACATGTCCCCGCATTGTCAAGGGACAATTCTCACCCCGAGTGTTAGTTTTAGCAGCTCGTTCGCCATATTTTTCCAGTTTACTAGATGGCAAACATCTGCAACATCTGGTTCAAATGGATTGGGGGGGGGGGGGTGTAAGCAAGAAGAGACGCCTACAGCACAAACAGCTACAGGCCTGTTTAAATGTAGCGACTCATCATTCGCAACCTGCCAGGAAGCAGATTCATCTGCAGCCGTGTGTCAAAAAATCTACCCGCCAACTTGCAGCTACGATGTCGCAATGATACTCTGTGGGCCCATTAGTCCCCACGCAGCAGTCTAATCAGCCTGGTATACACAGCTGGGCAGCGCTAAACAAAGACACACATAATGACAGTGTGTGTGTGTGTGTGGCAAAATTCTCTCTGCTAGACGCGTGGACTTGGGCTTCGCCTCCTTCCTACAGAGCTTCCTTTCCTGCGCTGCTCTCCAGCACAGAGCTGAGCATGTGGATGACATGGCACAACATTACGTCATTCTGAAAGACATATACGCCACTGCAAAGATGTACAGACAGAGGATCGTGCAAAGGGAGTAATAATGTTATGCTTTAAGAGGGGTGATATTTAGTCTGGGGGGGGGGGGGGGCGTTCCGTCTCACTCAAAAGGAGAGGTGGTCGGTGAGGTCCTGCTCTCGCTGTTTGTCACAGCGTGGTCTCACATTCTCAGCATTCCACCAGGAGACCACGGAGGTCCGTCTCCAGCTGCAGTGACAAACTAACTAGATTTAAACATGAAAGCTATGCATACACCCCCCCATACTGCACATGCTCTTATATATGATGTATATATGATTTTAGGAATGCTGGGTGGCTATTTTTTATATACAATTCTTCTCATTTCTTATTGACCCGTGAATGACTTCTAACAACTATATAAAAGAAATGTAGCTGAAAGCTTGATGTACTTGGCCATCTTGCATCTCCAGCTCATTAAAACCCCTCCTGTCCTTCCCGACGTATTCCGATCAGAAACAGCACCAGCTCAAATATTTAATTTGGGCACTCCTGATGGAAGAGGCTGCCATGGAATTAGTTTCAGGTCAGACCCTGGACATTACATCAAAAAGTGCAGCTGTCGGCCTCTCCTCCCAGTCAAAACAGTGGGCTCTCATGTAAACCTTTTTGGCTGTTTTTGTTGAAAAGACATAAACCAAACAGCTGAGAGGGGGAGAAGAGAGGGTAACGCTGTAAAAGTATGAGCTCAGAGCAGAACGCTTTTTAAAAGGATGCAGTTACAACTCAATGGTGAGTTGTTATAAACACAATAACAATGAAAGGAGGCAGCTGTCTGTCTACCTGTCTGTCTGTCTGTAGGCAGCTATGGGACACTGCTCACTGTTCAGTTGCAGACTTGTGACCTGTGGAGCTGGCTGTCATCTCTTCCGAGGCTGGTCCTGCCATAAAGGCTCGATTATAGCTGTCTGGCAGGCTGTCTGGCTAAGCTAACGTCGGCTAGCCAACTTTAAGTGAGCCCGTCTGTCAGCACAACGGGGTGATAACGTTAGTTAGGCAGCTCTCTTCCATTGCAGATATATTTATCTATACATGTTATAGGTTAAGTTGACATGCGAGATGCGCTCCCACGTTTTGGTTCCATCAAAGCGACACAACCCCCTCAACGGCGGAGCAGCACAATATATTAGGCTCAATACTCCGGGACCCGTGTTATGGCTGGTGGTGGTTACTGGCGACAGTCACAGGGCTAAGACTATTTCCAAGAACAATAATATCCACATTTAGCCGCATCTACTGGTCCACTCGGTCTATTTCCCAATATTAGCTAACATTCGGGAAGACAACTCATATTTAAAATGCACTGTAGCGGTTTACAAAATCGTGTAAATCACGGGAGAAAGAACCGGCGGCAAGCCAACTCCATGGCCCATGGGAGCTGTTCCCATCCAGCACATACACGGAGCCCCCCTAGCTAGTGTGTGTGGGGGAACATACTTGGGGGATTTAAAAGCGTTGCTAGCTACCTGTTAGTCGCAGCTTCACGGGGCCATTTCGCCGGACTCCTTGGTTAGACATCTCTTCTCGGTTCCAGCCTTCACTACTCGTAATAAAAACGTGTCGTTAACTGTAAAAAAAATAAAAATAACAAGGTTTATCAACCTCTCCGCCAGTTTTAGACAATAATGGAGTCAAGGCATTGTGGCCCGGATGTGAACTGAACTGCCATAGCGATCGCTCACAAATACGAAAAATTTGAAAAAATAAAATAAAAATAAATCGCGAGTGTAGCAGCGCTGCAGAGCGCATTTACTACAACCGGCTTCTCCCCGGTGAGACGTACAAACGAGCAACCGTGGCGACGCTGTAACGCGGGGTTCGTCTTCACATCCTCGGTCCTCCTTACCGCTCAACGAGAGTTGAACTGTTGAGCCCTCCGGTGTGGATCCCGCTTCAGGAGGCTGCCCGGTGACGACAACACCACTTTGTGAGGGGGGGTGGGGGGCATTTCTCCAACATGTGGCACCTCACTGTAGTTCACACACTGGCCCCACTGTGTCCTCGAGCCGTCCAGACTTTTTACTTTGATGGCTTCAGTAAACACAGCTACCTGTGTTTGACCGTTTAGGACTTTTTACAGGTGCGTAGACACAATCTACACATGTCTGGCCCCCTTCTACAGCCACAATTTAATACATGGCATCTATCACAAAAGCGGAGGTGCCACCAGGAATATGCAATTGATAGTATGACATTTCCAAATGTAGCACGTTGCTGGACCATGTTGCATTGCATCAGGTTTAAGGAATAGCTTGACATTAAATTTAAAAAAAGTTAGAGGTTTAAGTGCCAGACTATTTCTTGACAGAGTAGTAATTTCAGCGAATACGTGTTTTTCCCATAAAGTCAAACTACTCCTGCTAACATTTTTGTAGGACAAATCTGTGGTGTTATTGCTGGTATGAAGCATGAAAGTACTCACTGAGGCAAGAAGCTGAATTCATGTAAAGTGCCTCTACTTTTTATTGGCAGTTACTGGAGTAAGTAATAAGGTCAATTTGGTCAACAGATGAGGTAGAACTGAGTCAGGATGAGCAAGCACCACTGATGACATCACTCAGAAAGAAACAATTTTTTTGAGTACACAAGTATCATAGATATGCTAATGTCACCAATTACTGTAAATGCACTTCTGTTCTATTTTGAGAGTACTCAGACAGAATCAACACAAAGTCAATGCATTTGACAGTAAGAAAAGAAATGTCAAAACCCAACACATGATCTGATAACTTTATTTACAATCATGTTTCTTCTGTATTAAAACAGTATGTACAATACATACAAAAGGAACTCCACAATCACATGAACAAAAGGACAAACAGTAGCAAAGAGGAAACAGTAAAGTTGAGTAGAGGTATTAGAACGTCATCTAGAAATTGAAAGTGCTCTGGTTTTCACTGATGTTGAATGCAAAACCATCATCGGTTGCTTCTGGGACCACACTCTGCACCACCTCCTCCTTTAAAGAATAATAAAAAAGAAATATTAAATCATTAATAGGCATAAAAAGTAAATTTGAAAATAATTCAGTTCAAACATCTTAAAAAGACACGTACCTCGTCAGAGAAGTATTTCTCAATGAGATTGAGGGATGCTTTGTAGATCATCTCATTCTCATGAGACTGCAGAGCCTCGATCTTGTCCAGTCCGCCCAATTCTTCCACCATTAGACTCAGCTTGTCCGACTCCCCAATTTTATCCCCGGCCTGGTAGGCGAACACACAGAAGCAGAAGCATTTAACAGCCATCTAGTCACCAGCAATGATAATTAATTGTACTTATCAGATCGGGCAAATAACGCACATCTGTATCCCTCCATGAAAACACTCACCATGAAGATATTGGTGATGGCATCCAAGATGACGAGGACAATTTTGCTGTCCTTGGAGGAGAGGAGATTCAGAAGAGGCTCGAGCACATTGGCTTGTACAAGGTAAACCACCTGCTCAACGGTGCCCCCACTGGTGAAGTTTGTAACAGCCCACACAGCCTCCTTCTGAGTTTTGTAGTCTCCCTGCAGAGAACAGACAAGGGCAGGATGAGCCACATAGACATGACATGAAAAGTTAAGAAGACTGATGTAGGAGTGAGTGTTTAAATGCAGCTTATTTGTAAAATTATAGTTCTCTAATGAATGAAACAAATCCAACCGGGAAGAACAAACCTGCACAAGCGTATTGACCAGGTGTGGAATGATTCCCGAGTCGATGACCTCCTGGATTTGGGCGTCCTTCCCTGCTGTGATGTTGGACAGAGTCCAGGCTGCCTCCTTCTGAATGTTGGCCTTCTTGTGGCGCAGCAGCCGGGGGAACATGGTCAGGGCCCCGGCATTCAGCACCGCCTGGGTCTGCTCATCCGTGCCAGTCACAATGTTGCCGATGGCACGCAGTGCTGGGGTCTGAGAGGGGGACGGGGGTCATTCTACGGCCTGTCAGAACCTGAGGAGTTGCCTCAGGGAGCTGGAACAATGTACCAAAGTGCGCGCACACACACAAGGATTTTTATACGTACAATGACGGGCAGCTCTTCAGCACCGAGCAGATTCACCAGGCGAGGAATTAAGCCGGTCTGGACCATCACCTCGATGCGGTCATTGGAGCCGTCTGTCAGGTATGAAACGGCCCAACACGTGTCGGCCAACACCTCCCGGTCATCGTGGTGCAGCAGACGAACCAGAGCGGGTAGCATCTGTTGGACCGCCGTTATGGGGGGGGAGGGGTTCTTGTTGCGGCAGAGGTTAGACAGCGTCCATGTGACATTTCTCATGTAGCCGGTCTGCAAAGAAATCAGGTAGAGGAGAAGGCATTGGTTTGACAAGAGGCAGCAATATGGTTGAGTTAGAGCACCCCCTAGTGGGTGAAGAGGATAAATATGATTATTAATAAAAAAATACTTACACTGAATACAGACAGGTCAGGGACCGCCAGCAGACTGAGAAGAGGGGCCACAGCGCCATTTTTAATGACCCTGTCTCTAAGAGCCGAGCCATCACCTAAAAAACAATAAATATGTACGACTGTGCTTCCAACGACGCAGTGATGACAGTCCAGACAGAATAAATTAATTTTAAAAAAAAAAGAAAAGATAAATAAATTCTATCCGTTACCAGCAATGTTTCCAAGGGCCCACACCGCTTGCTCGCTGATGTGCTGGTGGTGCGATGTGACCAGGCTGATGAAGGCCGGGATGCCGCCACCCTCAACCACAGCAGCGGTCTGATCACACGTCCCAGAGGCAATGTTGGTCAGAGCCCAGGAGGCCTCGAACTGGATCGGCGGACAGTCGACCAGCCCCAGGAAGGAGACGAACTTGGGGATCAGGCCGGCACCGATCATCTGGTTGATGGGGGGGGTTCTTGTCACGAGACAGGAGCTTCCTGCATTTGGGGCGGTACGGTAAAAGTAAGTCACCATGGAGGTAGTCGGTAGATATGATTGTGATATTTAATGAAGCGTCATTAACCTGGCAGCCTGTGTCGCCTGGAGCTGGGACTCGAGGTCGCTGCTGTTCACTCCTGAGAGAATCTCCTCAACCGTCCACTGTCTGGCAGACTGCCAAAGGTCACACAAGAGGAGTTATGATTTAAATAAAAGTATACACAGAGGAGGTGGACAACATGAATTGCTGTACATTACATGCAAACAGATGCAATATTCCTGCTAGCTTTATGAATGTTTTGCTTTTTATTATTAAGACTGCCTGAAAGAAGTTGGTTTAACTGAAGTAATACAAGGGTGGGGTTTTTACACTGGCTCCTCCCATTTTGTCAAACTTTAATTTTGTACATTATCTATGTTAAGACAAAATATATGTAAATTCAGTAACATTAATCAACCCCCTCACACCGCATTATATTTGTAGCTACCGTATTTAATAAGATTAAGTGTCTTGTGCAAAGTGTTCACCACCTTCATAGAAAATAAAAAAACAATATTGAACAACAGAATAAACATTTTCCTAAATATCTGATTTTTAAAAACGGGCCTACCAGGCAGTTCTGAGTCCTTTCCTGAAGGGGAGAAGTGGCCTCGTCAGGAAACGCAGACACATTTCTTCTTTTGAACATCTGGTCATCTTTCTTCGCCTTGCGGAGCTCCACGTTCACCTCCACTCTCCTGCGTCGAAGTTCCTGAGTTCGTTTAAAGTAAAGTCACATTGTTAGGTTTTAAACTGCAACTCGCGGATATCTGATGCTAAACGTGACGTTTTGTACTCACATTAGCATCTTTGCCTTTGTTCTTGAACTTGTTCAGACGTTCCACGTTCTCAGACATGGTTTTTTTCAACTGACGAGGAGGCGTAGTAGCAGTGAAAACTTGTGCTTTGTAGAGTTATTCCTGCGGACAGAGCATTTAAAAAAAGAGTTAGCTGGTACAAAGTACTTCGAGCCACCTCGTGAGCAAGCAGCGCGACCAATGACAAACACGTCAAACTGAGCAGACCGTCGGTTTGACATTAAATTAGGCCAACTGACAGCTCGCTGAAGATGAATATACAATACGCGTCGTACAGAAAATCATAAAAACCTAATTATTCAAATATAAAACAATATTCCTTTAAATACAACTACATAAGCAGTTGACACGCGCTTTACCTGATCGTCGCGCAAAGGGTTGTGGTACGCAAAAAGTGCCGCAACAGACCTTTAAATTCCTGTAACAAAGCCATCTGATTGGTCCGTTCGAGCGAACGCATCCAGTCGCCTCCGTTCATTGGACCGTTTCAAAAAATCACACAGCACACAGGAAATGTCGTCACTCTACGGAACTATCGCGATATCTCCTTTGCGTTTGAACAATACTATGTTAAATCTGACTCTGGGTCGGTATTTTTGCCGTTTTTTCAGTCATAGACTGTATGTACGTGTGAGGGATGAGCTGTTCCTGGATCGGTGCATTCCGGTCCTGGTGTGACGAAGTCTTAAAAAACGCATCCAGTTTCAAGTCCTCCATGTAACACATTCCTAAGTAATTGTAAAGAACACGTGTCTTTTTCATTACCTTTTTGTCACATCTGAAATCGAATATTTGCAAATTAATGTATATTTCTCAAGACATGGTTTCATTCGTATCAGCCCAGCTAAACAGGACGGTTGTTATAGGAAATGGAAATATCATGCTCATAAATCAAGAACAATGTCCCACATTTCAGTTTTCAGTTAATATGCACTATCATATGCATTTCTTAATATGACAGACTTAAGAAAACATAAACTCATTTGATTTGTCAGTTCCATATTTTTCATTTTAATGAATTTATTCCGTTTTATTCTGTCCCTGCTTTATATATATATATATTATATTTTTTATTTTTTTCTTGAGCTGCTCTGTAGGCCTATACACAAACTTGTCTTGTGCTGAAACATTTAAAAACTTTCATATAGATGTCAACACTTCCATATGTCACCGCCTGCCACAAACACAAGGAAGAACTCAGTCTTTTCATTTTTATTAAGTTCCATATACATCAATATTTCTTCAGATGTAATACAAAAAAAGAAAAAGAAATCAAGTCGAAATGTTTTTTTTTTTGTTTTTTTTTTTTACAAACAGGGCAGGAGCCTTCAAATATGTTGCTTCATCCTCAGTCAGTCACTACCGCAGAGCAGTCCATTTACAATAGCTTATTACTGTACTTTCAGGAGGTTATAGAAGTTTAACCAAGCAAACTACTGGAGTCCAGCTATTCAGTACAACTCTCTTTCATGCCACTTCAGACGAAACAATGTGTGGAAACGGGAGAAAAAAAATAAAAAGTTCCACTGCGATATCCGAAATTTAGACAAGAAACTCTCGATACATTATTTCATTTCCTATTTCTCATTGGACATGATGACCACAAGGATGGCCTGAGGGTTTTTTTTTTTTTTTTAACAAGAAAGAAAAGAAAAAAGGCCGAGATCAAAAAATAAACATAGAAATATGAGAGCTCCTTAAGAGTCTTTTTCTCCGAGGTAAACTTTTCTTCTGAAACGCCTCAGTCGCTCGCGCTCCTCAGTACAGTCCCACTGATGAAGACAGGTCCAAAAAAGACAAAAACAAGGTCCCTTAGAGCTGAAATGGACAGCTCTGCCTGAACAGCTCTGCGAGAGCAACAGCGCTGGCTGCACCGACAGTCAAGGGAGCTGATCCCACACACGGGACGAGGCCGAGTCTGTCACAGAGTTTACAGTTCAGAAAAAGCCATATTCTTGGCAAGTGCATTTTGTTTGAGCAATGTGCGGTGCTTTCTAAGAGGCTGACGAACACTGTAGCTTGTTGTTATGAGACCTACAGAATGCGGAGAGAGGGGAGAGGAAAGTTGAGAGCCCTTCGCAGTTTTCTTTCATTTACGGTCGCGACATCTCGACAAAAAACAAACAGAGGATGCAAAGAGGTCGGCGGAGGATCCTGAAGCCGTGTTGGTGTAAATTCACTGGGAATGCTTTTATTAGTGAAGGAAATCTTCCACAACTACAAACTGAGGTTACTGTGTGAAGCAAGGATTCCTCGCTCTTTGTAGTACATTTTAGTCTCATAAAATAATACCATCTAAAATGATTTGCTTCATAATTCTTTTTAAAAACATTCAAACACAAGAGTTAGACATATCTTACAACCGCTGTACATGATAAAAAGTATGTACATTCAAGACAACCACCTTAACAGCCAGCTCGATCAAACTCAAAAGGGATGTAACATACAGAACTTCTCATAAATATCTCTAGATAATAAAATATGCAGCTTTATATACGTTTCTTATACCTGGCAAGGTCAACACATTATCCAATCCAACTCAGATGTGTAACAGAAAATAAATACAAGTTAGGAAGTCAAATGCATTTAAAATCCCACTGAAAACACAAAGGACTGTTCAACAAAGGCCAGATTTAAGGACATGATGAGAAGAAAGCTTGTCCCTCGATTACATGGTAAACGCATCTCAACATGGCTGCCATTGTGACTAAACTGAATATTGTAGTAACCAAAAAAAAAAGTTAAATTGGTGGAATTTACATGAAAGCACAATTGGTGTTTTTGTGTAATTTTTTTTTCTTTATCAACAGATTTGTTTTGTTTTATTTTGTTTGCCGTTCTGTAAATCGAAAGTTCCCATTTCATTATTACTAGAGACCCCCAGCATCCAGTCCAGACTCCAGCTAGACTGGCCCACTTAAGAATCTGACAATCTGCAAGAAAGAAGAAAAAATGGGATGGCATAAATCAAAAAGGCATGCAGCAAACAAGTGAACAGACACAAATGCGAGATGACACACACGGTACAGATGTAACACGGCGTCGAGTTCTGTTAAGACATCGGACGGGATGTCCTAAAGCTTCGGCAGCTCCGTTGTTTTTAGTACGGCCGAGCAACGGCGACAGTGCAAAGCCAACTCTAGTCTACAAAAGGAGAGCACGAGCTACTGCAAAATGACACTCGCTACTCATGCCAGTGGTATGAACAAAAGTGAGTGAAGGGCATAAACGCATAAATGAAGAAAAGGACGACATGACAGCCAGTCACAGCTTCACGACACGCGAAACGTTAAGCGTGGAGGAAGAGAGAGAAACTCAGGGAACCCGGAGAGTCTGCAGCAGCAGGAGCACCCGACCTTACCTGCTCGCTTTGAAACCTTTGAGCTTCTGTACAAAGAAGGCTTCGAGCACCTCGGCGCACTGAAAGAACGGCGTGTCGTTGGGGTTGTAATAGCGACAGTTGTCGAAGATTTTGGTCACGTCGGCCACAAACTCGGTGAGCTTGTGGTAGTGTCGCTTTTGCAAGCGGGTTTCCATTGTGGAAAAGTCTGCAAGGGAAAGAGAAATGTGTGATTTTTCTTTGAATAGTATGCACGAGACATTTCCTCCAAACAACGGCGACGATTTGTTCTTACCCATCGGCTCCTTGATGACGCGGTAATAATCGGGTGCGTCGTGGGGATCCACCGGTTCAAGGAAAGGCCAGGCCATCTTGTGAGTCTGTTGGAATAACACGAAAACGCTTACAGAACACATTCTCAATATAGAGAATCAAAAATACCAAAATCCAAAAAAAATATTTGTAGAATTTCTCTTAACGTCATTTAGAATTTGCTGCTGGTTTTCTGGCCGTAAAAAGTTATTCGATTTAGTATAATTAAAGACACCCTGACAAACACAGGTTCCATACCTGTAACGAGCGTAGTATTCTTTTCAACCCCTCATAGTCTTTGTCGGTGAGCGGCGTGAGGACTGTCATGGCGTCCTCCGTTGACTGACACTGCGGGCAGACGTACAGGTCGATTTGATTGGCCTCACTCTGCAGGATGCCCACGCACCGGCCGTGGTACCAGTTTTGGCAGCGGTCGCAGCCGATGTAGAATCTGTGGGTGAGAATCGGACACGTTAGCGCACCAATGAAACGCCGCTGAAAGCCGACGACAGCCTGTGCGAGGTCGCGGGAGGAGCCTTACTGCGATTCGTCGTACGGCGTCCGGCAGATGCAGAACAACTCCTCGTTGCTCGCTCCCTCCTGACCGCGTTTGCAGTCATTGCACACAAAGTCCTCCAGCTTCTTGGCCTCTTTCTCCGTGATGCCGACACACACGCCGTGGAACCAGTTGGAGCACAGGTCGCACCCGATGTAAAACCTGAGGGGGGAAAAGGTCGTTAGTTTGTGTCGTTGTAATGCAATCGCAACAGTTTAGCGTCTTTTTTTCTTCTCCAGAGAGCTTACTTTGACTCGTCGTAGGCTGTTTTGCAGACGCAGTACAACTTGGTGTCCTTCTTGTGATCCTTTGAGGTAGAAGACAGCTTCTTCTTCTTCTTGTGTTTGGACGAGCTGGAATCTCCGTCCTTGTCTCCGTCCTTATCTCCGTCCTTGTCTCTGTCCCTGTCTTTGTTCTTGTCTTTGTCTCTGTCCCGATGTCTGTCCCGCTCCCGCTCCTTCTCCTTCTCCTTCTCTCGATCCCCGTCTCGGTCTTTGTCTCGGTCCCGACATCTGTCTCGGTCCTTGTCCCGGTCCCGCTTCTTGTCCTTGTCGTGATGCTTGTCCTTGTCGTGGTGCCGGTCTCTGTCTTTGATCCTGTCTTTGTCCCGCTCCTCTTCCCTCTTGCGTTTGTGGGACGAGGACGATGAGGACGGCGAGGTCGCCGCGTGGGCACTGTGAGAGGAATGTGTGGCGTGAGAGGGATGGGAGGAGTGAGAAGAGGCCGCCTTGATCGTCGCTGCGGCGGCCTGAGTGATGGCGGTTCTGGCTTTGTCCTTTTCTTTTTGTAGCCTGGCTATGTCCCGCCTCAGCTCCTCCTGAGAAGGAGACAACACATGTAATGTCCGGCATCTCTGGTGCATCTCTTACCATCTTGACGGAGGCGGACCGGGCGCTCACCTGTACTTGCAGCTGCAGCTCCTTGTCCAGCAGGGCCCTCTTCTTCAGGATCTCCGCCTTCAGCTGCTCCTTGTGCTTGTACAGCAGCCCGGTCAGCTTGGTGGCGTTCTGCCTGGAGCGTTTCTGCTCCACCACCTCCTCCTTCTTCCTCTTCTTCGCCGCCTGCTTCTCGTCCTTCTCGATCTTGTCGAGGATGAACTTCATCACCTGGTTGCACACGATCATTCTGAAAACAGAGGACAGCAGGGGCCGCCGGAGACAACAAGAGCGAAGTGAATACCATGAAAATACAACCGTCATCCAACATTTGTCATAAATCCCCACATTTCTGTGATTATCAAGCCCCAAACCTCTGGTTCTCCTCTCTCTCAGCGGCAGCCAGGCTCTTCTTCTGTTTCAGCTGTTCTGCTGTAGCGTTCTGCTTCACGACCACCTGACAACAAAAACACTTTTTGTTAATATTAAAAGTTTTTAAACGCTGTAAGAAATGAATCACTGAAGTTTTCTGTTTTTTGTCACACCTGCTTTTGGATGCCATCCCCGGGGCTAACGGCCTGCAGACTCTGCTCTTTCTGTTCCCTTTTAACCTCCTGGTGTTTCTTCTTCTTTGGTTTTTGTTGCTGTTGTTGTTGTTGTTGTTGCTGCTGCTGTTGTTGCTGCTGCTGTTGCTGCTGCTGTTGCTGCTGCTGCTGCTGCTGCAGCTGCTGTTGTTGCTGCTGCTGCTGCTGTATTCTTTGGAGCTGCTCCTGGACGCTCGCTGGTGCCTGTATTGTCACCATGTTCTGGATTTGGTGGGCCTGGATTTGCCCCCCTGTCTGCTGGATCTGGATTGGCAGCTGCAGTTTGATCTGCTGGGGAACTGCCCCACCCTGCTGCTGTGCCTGTGCCTGGATCTGGGCTTGGATCTGAGCAGCAACATGGGGCGGCAGAGCCGAGAGAAGCTGGACAGGCTGTTGGAGGCCTGGAACGGTGATGAGCTGATGCCTGATCGGAGACTGGACCTGAAGCTGAGGCTGCGCTTGAACTTGAGTTTGGTTCTGAGGCTGGAACTGGACTTGGAGCTTAGCTTGGACTTGGGGTTGGGCTTGGACCTGAAGCTGTTGCTGGACCTGGGTCTGCTGCGGTGACTGGACTTGAAACTGGGGCTGGGTTTGGACTTGAGTTTGTACCTGGGGTTGCTGCAGGGTCTGTAGTTGTGGGTGACCGTGGCTCTGTTGCTGGAACTGGACCTGAACCTGGGGATGCAGTTGGGTTTGGATCTGGGGCTGTAGCTGTAACTGAGTTTGGGCCTGAGACTGAACCTGGGGTTGAGATTGGACCTGGGGTTGGGTTTGAGCCTGTGTTTGAAATGAAGCCTGTACCTGGGGGTAGTACTGAGGCTGGACCCTTGTTTGGAGCTGGGCCTGGACCTGCGGCTGGGTCAAAGTTTGGTTTTGGGACTGAAACTGCACCTGAGGTTGATTTTGAGCAATGGGCTGTACTTGGGCATGGGGCGGTTGCTGAGGTTGTGGCTGAAACTGAACTCGGACCTGGGGGTGGCTTTGGGCTTGCGCCTGGAGATGGGCTTGAGTCGGAATGTGAGGCATTTGTTGGACTTGGCCAAAGGGCTGGACCTGAATCTGTGCACGGATCTGGGTTTGACGCTGGGGTTGAAGTTGAGCAAGGGTTTGGGGCTGGAGCTGAGGCTGCGTGGGTCTGACCGTAGTAACAACAGAAGAGACTGGTAGTCCCATATGAACCTGCACTGCTGAGACCGGGATTTGAGACACATGCTGCATGGACACAACGGTAGGGTGCTGGACGTGTCCTTGAGCTTGAGGAGGAAGAGCTGCTGGAGGCAGAAGGGCGACAGGTGATGGATGCATGGAGACCGATGCAGAAGCGGGCACAGTGGCGAGGCCGAGTGTCTGCGCTGGAGCAGCAGCCTGCTGAGCTGGCTGAACAGGAGTCTGAGCTTGAGATGAGGCCGGAGTCCAAACCTGGGGCTGAGCTGCCCTCTGCTCGGTCAGAGCTACAACAGGACAGAGAAGCAAGAACAAGCAATGCATTAAACAAGTCAACCATTGTGTATAGACAATGACTAAAACAGGGTGCTATTGATGTGTGTTTGTGGGAACTGTGTTGGGCTCCTTACCTGGCACTGAGGGTGTTGTAAAGGTGGCGGTGACTGGTGTGACGACTGCGTTGGCCACAGCAGCGTGAAGGGGAACCGGTGCCGTGGCCTGGATTTGGGTGAGAGCTCTGGCTGGGGACGGGACAGCGATATGGGTGGTGGACACAACAGCTAGGACGGGAGCAGAGACTGGAGCAAGAGCCGGGGTTGGAACTTGGACAGGCGAGGGAAGAGAGGGGGAAGCAAACGTTTGGGCCGAGTTAGAAGCGGCTGCTGTGGCGGCCGCCTTGACTGAGACCGGGGCTAAAGCAGGGACATGGCTGAAGGCATGGGTCTGGATCTGGGCTTGAGGTGCGACGTGTCCCGTGACAGGGAGCGACGCTGCAGTTTGTGTTGGGAATGAACCTGGGGCGAGGGTGGAGACCTGGGTTTGCGCAGGGGTTGAAGCTGAGGCGAAGACTGTCTGAGACATGGCCGGGCCTGCATTTTGTGACGGGGTAGGCACAGTTCTTGCCACTTGGGGTTGTGCGGGGACAGAGGCTGGTGTGGAGGCCTGGGCTGCAACGTGAGGCAGGGCCGGCACAGGAGTGGATATTTGAGACTGTGCAGGGACTGATAACGGGGTGGTAGCGGCTGCAACTCGGGTTTGCACAGGGACTGTGGGCGCCAAGCTTGGCATTTGCGTTGGAGCGGGTACGGGGGATGGCATTTGGGTTTGGCCTAGGGCCGAGGGAGTCGTCTGGACTTGCGCAGGGGTTCCGGCTTGAGTCGGCGTTGAGATTTGGGCTTGAGGGGTCTGAGTGGGTGCTGAAGTTGCGGCTGATGAGGATGGGGGGATGGGAGTGAAGAGGAAGCGCTGGACCTGGCCGTTGGGCATGGCTGCCTGCATTAGCTGCTGACCAGGAACGGGAATGACTGTTACTCCCTGGGGGATGATTTGCAGCTGTCCCTGGGTCTGGCCCTGACCCTGGATCACCACAGTCAGACCTGGGTTTCCACCCTGCAGAGTTGCAGACAAAAGGAGTCTCGCCTTTAGCTGACAGCGATATAATTCTCTCTTTGTATCATTCAAAACAAAGTCATGAGGACTTTAAAACATTTTAAGACTTTCACAACAGGAGAACAAAAAAAATGTTACCTGAGCACCCTGTGTCAGCTGCAGGAGCTGTGCCATAGTGAGCTTAACTTGACCCTGCTGTGGTCTGTTGGTCTGGGACGAAGCTACAGGTGACTGTCCAGGTGCTGTGGTGGCTGCATGAGGTGTTGGTGCAGGACCCGCTGCCCTCTGAACAGGTGTAGAAGCAGGACCCATCTGTGTCACAGCCGGCTGAGGTTGGCCTGGAGGGAGGGGGCGGGAGGGGAGAGTAAGAATGCTATGTTTGAGCCACAGAAGGCTGAAGACATTCATTTGCGAAATTAAATCAGATCAGTTAGACAGAACACCTTGCTGAGCCAAGGCTGGACCTCCGGCCATTGCTGCGCCCACAGAGGTAGCTGGGGTCAGGGACTGGCCCATCGTCGTCACAGGCTGCATTTGGCCTCCTGCTGCGACAACCTGGAACACAAAGCCAAAGGTAAAAATGATCAATCATTGCGGTTAATATTTACCCAAGATTCATGTGAAAAGGACGATAGGAAAGGCTTGAGACCTGCTGCTGGGTGGTAGAGGAGGTGCTGGCTCTGAGGTTGATGTTGCCAGTCGTAGGGTGTAGTGTGCTGTACGTCCTCAGGTTCGCAGGGGGCCCCGAGGGGAAAATGCCCAGGACTTTCTGCTGGACTACGCCTGTTGATAAGCACGATTATGTAAGGAAAGAAGCAAATGGGCACGGGGTACATGCAGAGATGCAGGGCGAGGATGTACAGAAGCGGCGAGGCATGCACTGTGTGTGGGGAAGTACACTAAAGATATTGTAACACATTTTAAAAACATTCAGTTCATGGGAGAACTGTAGATTATACACAAAAAAAACTGCGACAAAATTTTCGGTCAGAGAAGCTCTTCCATATAATGTAAAAAAAATAAAATAAATAAAAATAAAAAATCCATGCTCAGCGCCAATAGATTCTGCCTGCCACACGACACTCTTCCATCCATTTTGGCAAGTGTAAGCACAAACCAGCGGCACATGGATGACACTCGTGCTCCCTACCTCCTTGTGCGGTGGGCACGTTGAGCGTGACAATCTTGCTGTTAGCGGGGAGCGGGAGTTTGGCGGCGAGGACCTGGCCAGCCACAGCCAATGGGCTGCCAGCGATCTGGAAGGTTTGCTCGGAGGTGGCGACGCCGCTAGCCACGGTGGTCACCGAGCCAACGGGGGCTGCAAGACACACCATGCCACCTGCAGTCACGCAAGGGCCACCGCGATAGCCAGCGAACGGCTGTGGTGTCCACTGGGAGGTCTGAGTTAACCAAGGGGGCGGACATTTTCGAATTTTGGGATTATTGTTTGAATTTTGGATGAGACACAGGCTCTCTCCTGTGTCCATTTAAAACAATTCAATTGAAAATTCTGTTTTAACAGGGCTGAAAGTGGACGCCACGAGCCAATCACATTTATTAATGTGAGAAATTGACACAAAAAACGAACAGTTGTGGAAAGTCATGCCGATGGTTGACTTCTTACAGACTGAGATGCCCGTCGAACAGCCTTAAAAATAAAAATAAATAAAGGGAAAACCCCAAAAAACGTGTCTTGTGAAAAGGTTGTTTGTCTGCCTGCCTCTAACAGATGATTGATGACAAACAGATGATTGATGACAACGCGCACAACCAGTCTACGTAGGATTTCTGATGGGATCATTCAAATCACCCTCTCATTGGGTTCGGGCTTACCTGAGGTGTTGTTGGTCTGACCCTGCTTCACCCAGGACGCAAAAGACTGATGGAAGTTCTTGTCTTGCTGAAAGGAAACCGGAGGGCTCAGTTTGGAGGCCAGGACCATCTTAGCTCCGGGTGTGACCTGACCTGTCCTCTGGCCCACGAACGCCGGGGTGCTGGGAGTGCCGGCCGAGGTGGTGGGAGTGCCGGCGGGTGTACCCGGCCTCAGCGGTTCCAGACGTTTCTGTTTAAGACATTTAAGACATTTAGAGAATATGTTAACCTCCAAGAATAGTGCTACCTGAACAAGGGCTGTGTGTGTGCAGTGTACATTGTCCGCACCTGTTGGGCAGCAAGTCTGGCCTGTTTCAGCTGATTCTCCAGATGGGCCTTGACTTCCTCTGCCGTCTTCAGACTACTACCAGTCTTAGAGGAATCAATACCCTGCGACTTCTCCCTCTCAACTCTGTAGGAAGGAAAAATGGTGACAATCAGGTGAATCAGTGCCCCGATCAGAATACTTCAGTGTTCCCCAGCGGGAGCTTGCTGTGCGTTTCTCACCTTTCAGCAAAAGCCCTGATCTCCCACAGCTCCAGGTCCTCTTCAGCCACCCATGTCTCCACAGCTATAGGCCCGGTCAGCTTCGCTGGCTCGTGCTTCTTCGGCCTCAAGGCACTTGAGCGCAGGCCTTTCCTCTGTGGAGTGGGCGTTTCTACTCACGGGAAGAGAGAAACAAACGTTATTATATGAACTCTTTCAGCAATCAATCAGGGTCATTCTTCAAATTAGCAAACTCAATTTATTCCATTGTTTCCGATGTTTAGCTTTTTTACCTTTGGGAGCGTCTCTGTTTCCGAGCGGACAGATGATCTTCCTGATGCAGTACTCTGAGCGGATGCCGTAAGGCCCCACGTCTCTCCGTTTTATGATCTCTGTTGTGGTGATGTCCGTGTCCGTGGTTTCTGTGGCAGGAATAAAAACATATTGTCACAATTATTTTAAATGGCAGCCATTTATTACTGTGAGCACTCATTCAAGCATTGGAAGGTGGACACGGCGGTGTTTTGTTAAAAAAGTAATAATAAGAAGAAGAAGTAGTTATATGTGTGAAGTAGAGACTAATGTAAGTCCAGTACAGGTGAAGACATCAGTGTACAGCATTCTCTCACCTTTCCGTGTCGTCCCCACAGCAGCAGAGGGCTTAACAGCCATGTCGTCCCACCTCAGGCAGCCCCACAGCAGCCTCAGCATCAGGCTGACCCCAGCTAGCGACCTCACAGTCTGGAGACGGTACCTGAATGGGACACAGTCAGAAGAAAACATGAGCTAATAATTCCAACAACCGCAAGTATATTTACATACACAATTGTATTTACTGTATTTTTAAACCCATCAGCAACGGCAACTGATGTCATTTATTAGTGTCCTTGCTAAAGTTGCAATATCAAATCATGATATTGTTCGAAATAACTAAAAGATTTACACATGACTATTGTTAATGTGTACTAATTGCTAGCTAAGCATCCCAAACAGTGTAAAAATATCTAAATGCGTTACCAACCTCCACGTGATCCCAAAAGTGGGCCGAGGTGAGGGGTAGGGCCATATATCCAGGGCGGGCTTGGCGTTGTAGTTGAAGATGGGCGCCTCTCTGATACCCGCCCTCCTCGCCATTCTCTTCAGGTCGTCATTAGGCAGGATGAAGATGCTCTTCTTGCTGCTCTTGGTGACGAACTTGCGGTAGGACGGCAGGGCCGTCCCTGAGCGGGCCTTCTTGGACTTGGAGAACCTGAGAAGGCTGATCCGGTCTTTGGTGGAATACTCCTTACTGATCGTCATGGAGCTGGTTGAAGGGCCCGTCTTGGTGTCGGCTATTGGCGGTTTAGTCCTCTGAGAGCCAAATGCCCTGGAGCTGAGCTGGGTGGTGGTGACGACAGAGGAGACTGCGCTGCTTGCCGCTTGAGGCGTCGCATCAGACTTACTGATCTTGCTGGACAGATCGGTTGTCGCCACATTTTGGGACTCCGCGGTGGTGGCGTCAGCTGAGGTGTTCAAACCTTTGCTACCGCCGTTATTACTATTCAGGCAAGAAGGGCTCGAGGAAGGAGGCTTAGCGGGTAGTGTCCCCTCTCCGTCCATGGCCACATCCACAGCCTTGTTGAGAGCGTCTCCTTTCTCTGCCACGTGGTTCTCTAATTTTGGGACTTTCAGGGGAGGTGGGTGACATATGTCGGAGACATCATTTTGAGAGAGCTTACCATTCATCAGAGACTTGACAGTCTCTTTGATGTTACCTTGGTCTTGACTGGCTGGGTCCGAGTTGGTGTTGGAGTCTGCAGGGGCGGTGAGCCCAGTTTTCCCGTTCACCTGCACAGGCCCGGTCTGGCTTTGGTCTACCTCCGTGCTCTGTCCACAGCTCTGCTCCATTTCCTCGTACCCACGTTTCTTAGCATTCTCTCCCACTCGAGCCACCTCTGGCCTCTGTGTTTTTTCTTTACTTTCTATTGCGTCCGATATACAATTGTTTTTACCGTTGGGCTCGGTGCTCGATAGGGGTCCTCCGTTCACTTCTTTGTGAGCTACGGTCTCCCCGCAGTTCCCCTGCGCAGCATTTACCTCCGTCTGCTTGCTGCGGTTGGGTTCCGTGGTTTCGGATTTGACGTCCGTGTCGGCCTTTATCTTCGTCTGCTCCTGCTCAAAGTTAAGCTTTTTAACCACGTGGTCTTTCACCTGAGGGCCCTCCTCCTCTTTTTTCACACACGGGGTCACAGCAGGCTGCTGTTTCCCTAATGTGGATCCTTCAGTCTTAACTCCGGATGTAGGCTTTGTGGCAGCATTTTTGGACAGCAGTGCAGCCTGTCTTAATCGCTCGAGCCTCTGCTTCTCCTCCAAGGTGAACTGTTTCACCCGCCGCTCCAAAAGCCCATCCAGTTTGGAAGGCTTCACTTTCTTCTTGTAAGCTGTCCGCAGCTGGAAGCCCTCGCTGACGTTCACAACATCGTAGTAGGTCTTTGACGCAGTGGTCGCCTCACTCTTGGGTTGTTCAACTTTCTGGATTGGCTCCTCCCTCACAGGCGACACAGAGGGCGAGGAGGAGTCTCTGTTTTCAGCTTGATCTATAACAAAGAGTCACAGAGGTCAGTGGATGATGGAAAGACACATTCATCCATAAATAGCATCAAAATAAATCCAAAAGATAAAAGAAGAAGGAAATTAATCTCAAATATTTACCTTTCTCGACATTTGAAGAAGCAGTTTCTGAGCAGGGGTCAACCTCCATTTTTTCATCTTCACTCTTCTCTTCTTCTTTCTTTCCCTGCTCCTCCTCCGTGGGCTTTTCTTCCTCCTTTGGGGTCGGGGGTTTGCAGTCCTCCTCTGATGAAGTGCTCTGAGATGAAGCAGTGACGGACGCTTGCTCATTGTCCCCGTGCGGTGCGTTCCGAGGATCCTGCTTCTTATTTTCCGTCAACTTTTTCTGCTTATTAGTATAAGCCGCTGCATTTTGCTTCCTCATTTTAGCTATGAAGACGGTGGGAAAAAAATATCATAGTATGAGCCAATAGTGTCAGCAGCAGGAGAATTCATTGAGGGGATATTGCCAGTTTAGCCCTTACCCTCCAGCTCTTTGCGGTAGTTAACGTTTGTGTTCCCTGGCAGCTTTGGGACGAACCGCGGCACATGAGTCTTGCTGACCCAACTCCAGCCACCATACCCGGTCACTCTGTACTCCTCCCCTTTCTGCTTCCACACCTTGATGGAAAACACACAGAAGTGAGGTCCACAATGACTTTCAGAAGAAGAACCACAACAGGTCTACACATCAAGCTAAGAAATAATATGAAATACAAAGCTGCCTTAAAGACAAAACTCTGTAACAATGTTAAGATACCGGTACTTCTGCAGTGGTCATGGGGAACGTAGAGAGATTGCAAATTATCTTTACTAAATGTGTGTGAAAACTAGTTTTAAACGTAATTAATAAAAGTAATGGATGGTTAATCTGAAAGGCCTGTGGCATTACGTCTGATAGAAAGGTTTGGGAAGCACTGCTCTGGATCAGTATGCATGATTTAAAACCTCCTCTGCGGCCTCATGAGGAGCTGGATGACGGATGCTGTTGGTTTACCTGGTGCTTAATGGGGATGGTGTACTTCACCCAGGTGGCCTGTAGCAGTGTCTCCTCATCCTCCAGCTTCTTCTCGCGCTTTTTCACCTTCTCCTTATCCTCCCGCTCCATGGAGGTCATACGAAGTAGCCTGAAGACAAGAAAGTACAGTGTGTAACTGAGATGTAAGGTGCACGGGCACTCGGGCAGTAAAGTTACTTTTTGAGCGCGCCGCTTGTTTGGTCAACACTCACTGGAGTGGTGACACAGATGAGAAGGAGCTGGAGCCCCAGGGTTCATACAGACACTACAAAATCAAATTCAAGGACTTTCTAGTACTTTTTCAAGCACCATTTCTTCTATTTTCAAAAAGGTTTGCAAAAGGTGCTTGAATTTTGAGATGAAAAAACATCAAGTACTGGAATACGTTGAAAGTAGTGCTAAAAAAAAGTCCTTGACATTCAAATGGACCACATAACGCTGCCTTATGTTTTGACCAACGTTCTGGTCATGTGTGCTTCCGTCAGTTTATCTTGTTTTTTGTATGACTGTATGTTCAAGGCATGACATAAGTTCTCATTGAATATATAAATTGTACTGTAATATAAATAGTTACATACATATACACCTGTATGTGATATTTGAGCCTCAAACAGTGCTTAACTCAAAAGTTTAAATTGGTGATTTGAATATGTACCTGACTAGTTTCAAGAGAGACGGACACTGATCGCATCATTTATTTACATGGAATAATGAAAATGTATATTAGAGAAGGCACACTACATGTTCATGTGCCATTAGTGTGCGTAGCCAACAGCTGTTTACCTCGTGTGTCCAAGAGAATCTTTCCATACTGGCAGCATCACCACGGGTTTGATGGCACACTCCAGTATGGCCAAGGCCAGAGCAAATTCCCGGGCCTTGCTGCACATCTGCACTGCTTTGTTCCAGTTGGTCCTAGAAAAAGGGGAGACAGACTGTATAAAACCATAGATAACACAGCACAACTGCTTTTTTTTTTCTCCATTAAGCTTCATCATATTTGAAATTCACCATGTTAAACCGGATTATGTTTCCAAGAACCAAAATGAATTATTTTTGTATCCTTCAAAAAGGTCCAGTGTGTAGGATTTAGGCAGATCTATTGGTAGAGATGGAATATAATGTTCATAACGGCGTTTATTTTAGTGTATAATCCCCTGAAACTAAGAATCATTGTGTTTTCGTTAGCTTAGAATAAGCCCTATATTTCTACACAGGGAGCAGGTCAGGCCGCCATGTTTCTACAGCAGCTTGAAGCTGCCTGAAGGCCTTAATACTGAAGCTTAATACTTAGCGTAGCGACATGAAAGTGGTATGAGAAGTAAGTGTATTTTCCTTAAGCACCCCACAACAAGAGGAACGTCACGCCAGTGCAGGCATCACCAAACAAAAACCTATGTTAATAAAATATGTCGTTTGGTCTCTGAATCACCAAATCGAGCTTGAGATTAACTGGACAGGAGTTGTACCTGTGCGACGCCCAGTTAGGATGCATAAATGGTCCCGGGACATTGGTCTCCAGCTGAATAATGGTGAGACGCAGGGTGGAGACGGTCAGGCTCCGCGAGCCGTAGATGGAGCCGTTCCACTTGAACTCCGACGCGGTGGTCAGGCTGAACTTGTGGGAGAGGTGGCGTCTCTTGTCGTGGTCCTCGCGGTGCTGGTGCTTGTTCAGGGCCAGGACGTTGGTGCTGTACTGGTTGTGGTAGACCCTGTATTTACCCTCCTGGCCCAGTTTGAACAAGTTGTTCAAGTTCACCGTCAGGTCCCTTTTTAAGAAGCTGAGACGCGACGATTCGCCGTCGCAGCGCACAGGAGAGGACTGAAAGGTGAGAGGGAACGTTACACTCAGCTACACTACGAGACAGTATTTACGCTAACATAAAGAACTTATAGGAGCCTAAATAAGATACAGGATCCTTGATGCTATGGACTCAAGTTAGTCTTCACTCAACTTCTCTTTCATTTTCAAACAGATTTCCTAAAAGAAATGCAGACTCAAATGACATTTTTGTTCCAGACTGCAGTTGGAGAACCCTGGCCTCACCTCTTTGCTGCCTCTGGCCGTTTGGTTATTCGATTCCCGTCCGGCCGGTCTCCCGTTATCACTCTTGACCCTATTGGTGTACTCGTCTGTCATTCAGAGAGCAGATGACACAAATGGATTCAAACAGGGCCACTGAAGAGACACTGATTCAAAAGTCGGTGTTAATCTACTTTTGGAGGACCAGCGAGCCTCACTCGTGTTTACCTGTCCCATCCTGGCTGGTGAAAGAGGACCGGGAGGACCGATCGGCCAGGTCAGGCTGCTCCGGTTTCCTGAGGTCTGAAGCCTGGCTGTGGCTCGCCTCTGGTTGAGATGACCGCGGCCGATCTTGAGAAACGTCAGGGCGCTTGTCCTCGCTGCTAGACTCCGCTTTCACACCTTCACCTACAAGGAAGAAAAGTTCGTAAAGACTGAGTACAGGAGTACACGGAGTGAACCTGAATGATGTAAATTACAAGGAATGTGCTTTAAGCAAAGACGGCAGCTGTGTGAATGACATAAAACTTCTCAAATTGGAAATTTTCTCAATATAGCTCAGTCAGACCGTGTTCAATGTAACACCAGGTCTCAAGAATTTTGCGGACCAGTTAGTGCTTCATCAGTCCAGCTAGGCCTATAAACCCATCTTGCACAGGAAAGGCTCCACAAATCCACAACAAGCTGTGCACTTGCTGCAGAGCCAAATCAAGACAGCAGCTCTGCATTTGAGTTGTTAGGAGAGAGAGACAGAGAAAGAGACAAAGTCTCGCATGTACATGCAGCTCTTTGTTGACGAGGTAGCAGGTGGGGCTTCCAGGCAGAGGGCCTTTTGTTTGAGTAGCAGGAACCCACCCAAATGCCCATAAATTGGATAGAGAATGAGGAGCCGGTTGCGACAGACACGGCGTGCTAGCTGCTGCCAGGGACGCCGTCTAGCACGGTGCCAAAAGCGCAAACGGGAGAGATGACATATATAACACAAGACAAGGAATGAATGCAGCAAAGCAGGCGACGAAAGACAAATGGCAGAAAATGGGCCGCAACAGCTTGAGATTCTGTGAAAGGGAATCTGAAAAGGATCAGGCTAGTTATGTGAAACAAGACAAATGTTCCAGCTTTCAGTCGAAAATGATAAACGAACTGTCTGAACAGAAGCAAAGTGAGACCAGTGATCCGGTATTTATGCTTAGCATAGCAACATACAGAGGGAACGGCCACACCGGCTCTTGTACACTGAATTACTACCTACAGCCTCCTCCGAGGTCTCGGAGCTCAGTTACATTACAATTCACCCAAAAAAACAAAAGTTGGAAAGCCTCCTCAAGTCCAAACTGAATAAACAACGACAACAATTTTGCCATTCAGAAAAATTACTTGAAACCAGATTTTGTTTCCCGTCCCGTCTAGAAAGTGACAGATGTAATAGAGACTGAAAATGTAGCCGCCGCCGTACACCCAACAAGGCAAATGAGCAGGGCGAAAAAAGAGCAGGGGTATGGTTAGTGGCAACCAGCACAGACAAGCAGACAGATGTGCAGCCCGGCATGAGGTGGAATGGCGAGTTGAATGGCGAGCGATTTGCTGCTGGTAGCTGGACACCGGAGGGAACATGAGTCCATCTTGGGCTCCGAGTACCTGTCCGTTCCTGCTTCGCCACCGAAGGGGACTCCCCGCTCTCCTGGCTCCCAGACTGAGCGGGCTGCGGTTCCCCGTTGGGTTCGAGGGACTCCGTTTTAGGCCCGGCTGCGTCCTGGGCGGCCGAGCCGGCGCTCAGGTCAGACACGCGGCTGTCCTCAGCAGCAGGGGGAACCGCGGCGGCTGTGGTGTGACATACATACACAGGGCGGAGAGCACCAGCAGGGTCACAATACTGTTTAGCAGGAAGTCAAGTGCTACCCCCTGTGCTGCTGGGTCTTCTGTTCAGGAGTTACTTTAGGAGAAAATGGCGTGTAGAGAATTACAGAACAGTGTGTGTGAAGTTGTCTTTTACCTTGTGAACCAGCGTCTTCCTTGGCCTCGGCGTCTTTGCACTCTCCGTTGTCGAGCAGCGGGGGGAGCTCGTCCTCCGCTGCTTTAACAGAGCCCGTTCCTGCTTCCTGTTTCGGGTCCTCTGTCCGCCTCTTTGCTTCCCGCCGGATCTTTATGCGCTCCATGATCACATCTAAAAGAAAAGGGGAACATATTCATTGTTCAAATTTAAAAAACAATGCCAGTAATTACATATCAATGCTCTGTGTTGAGCACCTGCTAAGTGAAGAGGATGGATACATTAACTAGTTTCAGATTTAAACAAGTTTAAAGTGTTTAATGAATACAGTCCATACTAATAACTTACCAGGAAAAAAACATTAAAATAGTTAAGTACAATAACTTTCTTTATTCCTTACATTTGCACACGAAGATCCATTGCTCCAATTAAAATAATCAGGGCTGCAACTAACAACAATTCCTCTTTAATCCTTCTATAAATGTTGTTCGTTGTTAAAAAAAAAATGTCCTCAGAAGGTCAAAATCTTGAGATCTCCTGTTGGTCAAAACACGCTGATCAACTACAGTTTCCACTGGAACAGAAAGAGCTGTGTCACAACAATCCTAAACAAAGACATGCAAGGCGTGGGCAGCAGCAGGCTTTTAACAGAGGAAACTACAAGCAACAACACCCATAAATCAACTGAGGATGGGGGAGAAAAAGCACTGCGACGGCTTTACAGAAACATCTCTTCTTCCATTTAGGGCTAGAGAATACCGATTCAGACCTCTAGCTTCTGACAGGATGCCAGCGGTACGCCCCTCCCCCCTCCCCCCCCCAATAAAACACAGCGCCAGTTAGTTCGGTGACAGGCGCAGGAAAACTGTTTCGAAACCAGATATGGCAGCCTGTCAAACACGTGCGGAAACCGCCGCCATGGTAATCAAAAGCTTTGCGAGAGGAGGAAAAACAGTTGCTTGATGTCTGAAGAGAGAGAGCGGGAAGAAAATGTAGCGCCTAACATTAGTGAGTCAACTGTCGTCATGGCAGAGCACCGCTGCCTGAGGGGAGGAACTATCTGATCTGAAGCTTCTATACGACTGTTTGAGAATGTAACCCTAAAGGACACACACACACACACACACACACACACAGTACCGTTGGCAGCAGAGAGGTAGGATCTGTTGTTTCCGCGGCCTCTGTTGGTGAGGTCCTCCGTGATGGTCATGTGGGCCTGCACCTCCTCCTTCATCTCCTCCAAGGTGGCGTGGAGGTCCGTCTCCCAGTACTGCCGATCCAGGCTGTCCATGAGCTCCTCTAGCTGGGCCTTGGTGCTGTAGTACCAGATCTTCTTCTTCTCGTGCTCGCTGTCCACCTCGCTGGGGAGTGAGAACAGGCCAGGCTGTTAGATCGTTGAACGTACAGCGAACCACATTGCTTCCTCATTGTTGTATAATTAATAAAAATAACAATAAAGAGTTTTAACTTTGGTTAAAGATACATTATACTCTATTTTTTGGGGATCTTTGTGTTGGATTGAATCAATTCTGTTGAAATACCTCTATATAAAACAAGTAGGGGAAACCCTGTACAAACAAGCTGAAAAATAAAATCTATTTCCATAGAATTCAATTGCAAAAGCAAGCTGCTCACACAGAGTGATACCAGCCATTCAAGATCATGCTTAGTGTCAAAGACAGGTCACACTGTGACGATAGCAGACTCTGTATAACCATTAACAGGCTGTCAGAAGCGGTCTCACAGTCAGGCTGACAGACGTTTGGGGTGGGGTGGGGTGGGCAACCAGGAAACACATCACTGCCAGTGAAGACAAAAGACAAGATAGTCAAACTAATGATTTCATTCAAGGGAGCATGTTGACACATTCTGCACGCCAAGTGGTTTTCACTGCAACCTTCACTTTCGCTCTCCAGCAGTTGGTAAATTTCCGAGTGGAGCAGCTGGAGGCATCTGGTAACGGGAGATTAACCTTCTGGGAAATTACACTCAACTGACTTTTGTTTGCATGAGTTTTATCATTGACCAAATTTGAGGACCACGTTTGTCATATTTAGAGTAAATGCGCATTTCGTTTCACAACAACAAAAACTTGTTATGAGGTCATAAGGCTATTATTGAAAATGTTCATGGTTCACGAGTAACTGTAGTACATAGCTGATACCTTTTATTGCTTCAGGACCAAGGTGACATGTTGTCCGTGGATGATTAGTACATGTTTCCCACAGTGCACTGAGGTAAATAACTACTATTAATGATACGACTCGTTCTGTACTTGTAAGATACCTTCATATAATAAGGCCCTAAGATAATAAAAACATGATCCAGTATTATGATAAAAATGTATGTTGCTGCTCTCTCTTTTTGTTTTGAATGGATTTGATCATAACATCTGTGCTGAATTTAAGGAAATGAAGCCGTTTGGCACGGAAAGGTAATTATCGTGGAACAGTGATGGTCCTAACTTACACAATAATCCTTCTGTTCAGGAACCAGTACTTCCTCTGGTGGCGGTCGTATCCAATGGGCTCCTGGCGGATGTAGGGCCTGTTCTTCTGCGCCTCCGTCACACTGTCTGTGACACCCGGCACCTTGTGCGCCACGCAAATCTCACACTGCCACTCGTCCTCCGGAACCGCCACCAGCGGTGGTTTCACACACTCCAGGTGGTAGACCGCCGAGCAGGTCTCGCAGCACAGCAGGTCGCCCAGGCGGTGGCACACGCGGCAGTGGTCGTCGTACAGCATGCTGCCGTCGGACATCAGCTCCTCGCGGGCGATGTTGGTGGTGAGAAACTGGTCCACCAAAAACTGCAACACCTTGATCTTGCTTTCGAGCGGTCCGTAGGGATACTCATCCACCTCCTGGTACGGCAGGACGTGATGGTACTCCCGGTCGCTCTCACAGTACGCCCGCAACACCTCGGGCCACGTCATGCCGTCGATGAAGTACAGAGTGGAGTGGACGCTGTCCTTGAGGTCAGCGGGGCCGAAGGTGGTGTTGGAGGTGTCCTCCTCGCGTAGGATGAGTTTCAAGAGGGCGTTGTGGGTCTCCGCTATCAAAGTGCACTGCTCCTGGCCGACCAGTGCCGCACAGAAGTCCTCGAAGCGGAAGGGGGAGAGACGCAGCACCGTGCTGAAGTTACGCAGCACCTCGTAGATGGAGGCGGCGTTGAGCAGCTCTTCGCTGGGCACCAGGAGATCCTGGGAGGTGTCGGGAAGCTCGAGAGGAGGAATCTCCTTCTCCTCGAAGATGGGAGTGCGAGGTCGGGGAGGCCGGACTTTTTTCTTCCCTGTAGGATACACAAAATGTATTAGTAAACCATTTTTTAGAGTCACACTTAACGTGTACACACACACACACACACACACACACACACACACACACACACACACACGTAAATACATTTTGAGGTTCACAGCCCAAATACTGTGATATTAGGTCTTTATGGCAATAACCATCTTTTGGATGCAAATACATCAAGCATGCAGCTACTGTGTAGTAAACAATTTCTAAATGTAGTTGTTATTCACGTTATTCTCAAACCTACAGGTGCAGTTATAACGTAATAACCATTCGAGGAGACGATATTCAACATTTTAGCATCTTAAAGTTGGTAGCAAACTAGCAGGTGTGCTCCTGTGGCTGAGCTGGCTCAACACATGTCACTATTAGCTTAATGAGGCTGCTGCAACTAGGAAAACATGAACTCTCCAGCAGGCTAATTACGTAAATATTAGTCAGACTAAGTGTTATAACCCCCCTTTTTATTTGGCGTGGCACAATGAGAGACATTAAACGTCATTTTCATGAGCTTTGGAGGGATGAACTGTCGGGTTAACTCAGATGAAAGCTGCCAAAGTGTAAATATGAGAGACGCGCTAACTACGCGCTAAGTTAGCTAGCTAGCTATTATGTTTGTTCTGAATCAGCTTCAATCATAAAGTACTTTTCATTCTTCCCTTATAAAGCAGTGGGTGTTGATGGTTCCTATAAGCACGTACAGTTTCCGTTATCTCACGCTCAGACTTCAGAGTGACAGCAGGCAGCATGAGCTAGTTTTACTTGCTAACGCTAGCACGCTAGCAGCCAAGTTATGAACTTAAAGGCTACCGAATACCATCTCGAGTGAGAGCCGTTTGGCAATTATTCTTAAAATATGTGCGAAAATATTTGACGGGCAATGTGTTGACGGACGGTGACGGCAACAAAGTAAGCTCGCGATACGGTATCCGATTCAATCCACCTGCAGCAGCACTAATGAGCTGACTGCGGCCTGTGTTCATACAGTGTGCATTCTCCATTTTGAACAATAACCTTACTGCTTCCTGCACCTAAAACAGTCACCAGCAGCACGTCGGGATGCATTTCCCGAGCCCTGCAGTGAACGTTGAGACAGAGTAGCCACCGACCGACCACAGTGTTTATTTACCCGGAGTGCTGGCGTGTGTGCTCTGACTCCGAAAGCTACTCTCTGTACAGTAGCTGGCATCATCCTCCGCCTCCTCCTCCTCCTCGTCCAGCACATCATCTTCAAGGCAGTCTGACTCCTCTTTGAGGGCCTCGTCCTCCTCGGATTGAGGTTCCTCCTCCACAAACTCGTCCTCCTCCGACCTCAGACTGACAGCATCGTCGTCCTCGTCGCTCTCGTGATCGTCGTACACCACTGTTTTGGACGCAACCGTCCGCTTCCCTCCACGGCCCCTTTTGCCTCCTCTCCCACAACCTCCACCTCTCCCACAACCTCCTCCTCTGCCTCGTCCCCTGCCCCGTGTTGACGTGACGGATCCCGCTTTCCTCTTCTTGGCCGCCTTGGCGGGCTCCCTCGTGGGGCTCTCTGCGTCCTCGTCCCCGCTGTCCCTGAACCTGGGCTTCAGATTCCTCCTGGGTCTCAAGCCTCGGGCCGTAGCTGGAGACGAGTCCTCGGCTTGTAGCGGTTTGGGCGGCCTGCCCCTTTTCCCTCTCATGATAGAGCGGAATCTAGTATTTTACGATCCCAATGTTTGCGTTGATTTAACCTCCACGAAGGCGAGCGAAAGCGGCACCCTTACAAAGCTGTCCCGGCGGTGAACCCGTGGAGCCCTCGTGTCCTTTCGGGTTTGAAAGCTCAAAACGTTAGCCCGGCGTCCCGTTTAGGTTCGCCTAGAGCCGCCATCTTTCTTCTTCTCTGCCTCTCTGGCTGAACAAACAGAGCAGGCTCGAGCACTAGAGGAGTCACGTGGTGCCCCTGCTTCCAGCTCGGTGGCAACAACGAGCGAAATGACAATTACTCGCAATTAGTTTCATATCTTAGTCGCACGTCGACTATTTTTTTTTCTTGTATGCCGTTCCAGTTTTAATCAATATGCGGGAAACCTGTAGTCGTCGCGGTTCATAGCAGCTTCTTCGCGTTTATAAATGGCAATGGGAGCAAACACCAGAGTAATGCAGATTATGGCATACAAACAAGATAAACCACCGAGGCTATGCTAACGTTGCCCTGTTAGTTGCGGATGTAGAATTGCAGGAGGGGGAATGTGTGGAAGGATATAATTAAAATGTATGAAATATTGTTACTGTTTTAGATGCTTGAATATTGTTGGTGTTTGAAGTCAAGCAAAGGTGGCGTAAAGTCTAGCTCACTATCCATCCCTTTTACTGCTGAGTTAAACTATAATGCATCATGTGTTATAAGTTCATCACGTATTTTCTATCTAAATATTATTATATCATAGACTTGACATATGAGTTTAGGTTTTAGAATGTTGAGTATACAGTATAATGTCATCAGTTGTCGTGGCCGAGTGGTTAAGGCGATGGACTAGAAATCCATTGGGATCTTCCCGCGCAGGTTCGAATCCTGCCGACAACGTCAAGTTTTTTACTTTCGAAATGTTGATTTGAAGATTTTATGCAAACAACGCTGTCCTCACCAAACGATGACATATACGGGCAATATGTCGTTTTGATTGCAATAAAGCACTGAGATCACCACCGTAATGGTGCTTAGATCAACGACACTGCTAGTTATCTTACTAGAGACAATATCCAAATTCGTTTTAAACCATTATTGGGAACCAGGCTTTCATTAGAAGCAGATGTAAAATCATATTTACGATCTGTATCATAACTTCTAAGTGGCATTGCTACCTTATTGTTTCAGTGTAGGCCGTAGTATATAATTTAAAGAAATATCTTTGTTGTGAAGTCATTTTCACTTCAGTAATGTAGACCAGAACACGTGACCACCACTGACTTATGTGTTTGTGCCCACATATTGTGTCTCTCATTCAGCACGTTCCTCTGGTTATTTATTATAAATGAAAATTCAGACAATTAAGTTGACAACAGGTAGTGTGGAGATCAGCCAGTAGGCGGCAGTAATGTACCATAAATGTCTGAACATGGCAGCGTGCACCGGCCTCATGATGAATATAGATAACTCTGGAGGCAGAAAGTCTACAGGCCTCTGACTGCAACTTTTCAATTATAGATTGCACATCTAATGTGCGGAATGTGCGAAAGCACCCACAAAAACAGCCACCGCAGTTAGAAAAGCGTGTCATTATTATGAGAGGTATCATAGTTTTACACACACAGTGCACATCAGAAGACTTGACGCCAGAAGTCAACGGACGACCGCAGAGGTCACATTACATCCCGTGAAGATGAACAGAAGCGCTGGAGCAGCGTGACATCTCTCACAACTCCGAATCCATTCCACATGAGAGGGCCAGAAAGAGGACAGCCACGCCGATAGATGCTCCAGGCAGTCGGTGACAAAAAAAAAGAGAAAGCAGAGAGGAGTCAGATTGAAGAGGAGCGCGACATCAGCACGCGGAGAGCCGAGTCCAAATGTGGAGCAGACGGTACGTCAGACAGTGTAAACGCGACGGTAAAGATCTCACTGAGCAGCAGCAGCAGTGTTGCTCCTCGGGCTAGTTTATCTCTCCAAGAAATGACATCATCAGCTTCCTCCTCACTGCTTCATCAGATCACACACGCGCATCATCTGCACCCCGGGAGACGGAGACTGACACTTTGGATGAGTTTCATCATGAAATGTGACCTCGTGTTTGAGCTCGAGCTTCTGTCTGACTCACCGCCACTGCTGCGGATGTCTGGAAGAATCCACTTCTTGGCCGTAGAGTGAAGCTGTTAGATTATATGAGTGTGTGTGGATGATTTGATGCAACACAAACATAACACAGGCAATATCATATCACTTTGTCTGGATGGGCAAGATCGAGGTTAGGATGTCACAAAAAAGTCACAAAATTGCCAGAAAAACAATCAAAGTTTGCATGATAATCAAACAATGCATCTCGCATTACTCAATTGCCATCACACTGCATTGACATGTATGGAGACCACATGCTACCTACAAGGTGTTCATTGATGCATTAATGAATCTAAAGGTTTAGAAACTCTTCAATAACATATATATTAAAGATATACACTATAAAGAAGAAATGACCAATTTTCCCTTTTATAAATGAAGTTAACAGACTTGAGTGTTCGCTGACATTGTGACTCCTTACCATTTGTTTTTCACATACAGAAACATTAACGTTTTTATTCCAACAGTAAAATGAAAAAAAGACTAAACATACATCTCCAGAAGTGTAGAAAATGTTGCCATTATCCTAAAACTAATGCTCGTGGCCACCGAGGCTGCAGAGTAAAAGTTAGTTACCACTCATAGCTTCACTGGAGAAGTTTCCATACTTCTTGGTACTGGGTTATTTCGGTCGTTATCTTCTAGTACCATCAAGTACTGATACCACTCCCTACTGCTATCTCAAAATTGTAGTTTCTGAATATATCCTGTCATTATTTCGAGGAAGTTTCTCATGATATGACGTCCAGGTTCCATACTCCGGTCCATGAGGAATATAAATCTGTATCAGAGACCACAAGAAATGATTCTCGTTTTTTAATAATTGCATTTTATTAATTGAAAAAAAAACAAAAAAAAACAAATGCAAATAAAAAGAGCAAAAACAGTATCATTAGGTAAGACAAGGCGAGAGACACTTAAATAAGAAGAGTTCCATGTTGGTGAGGATAAAAGGTGACGGCGGGTTGATGTAGAAGGGGAGCGGGGGGGGGGGAGAGAGGCCTTGTTGGATGGGACAGGTTGGATTATATACACTGTTCCTCACTGCAGGACTGGCAGGAGGGAGGGGGGGGCTCAAAGTAGCAGGTCGGAGACACTGAAACACCAGAGAGAAAGGCACTATCCAGAGAGAACAAGAAGACAGCAACACAAACACGGTAAACACAGACACGGGACCAGAAATCAAAATGCTTAACAAAAAAGTGCTTGACCACACGCCACATTGGACAGAAGGGAAACGAAACAAAACAAAAAAAACATCATTAAAGCTGATCTCTCAACTTTTAGCATAGAAGACAATCTCAGTTTTGTGAACTGCTGCGGATCTGCACTGGTGACTTCACACACACACACACACACAATGTGATTATCCCAACTCGGCCTCTCTGCTACGTGCAGGTGTAGCGAGGAGAGCGTTCTCTTTCGTGTGTGTGTGTGTGTGTGTGTGTGTGTGTGTGTAGCATGCACGGCGGATGCTTTGTGAATATGCGTGTGGACTACCAGCGCGCACACACACACACACACACACACACCCACACACCCCCCCCCCCCCCCCCAAAAAACGCATCACTCTCCTGAATGAACATGGACAGCGTCACCGCCTCTTTTTTAAAATCCCTTGCACGGTTTCTGTGTCGTAGTTCAGTTCTCCGACCTTGCTTCCCTCATGTTAATGTCTGTGGACTCCAGTCAGCTACATTCACTGCCCAGGTAAAATGGCTGCAATAAATACATTGGCTTTGAAAGAAAAGGTGGCTGACCTCTTACACGGGGGGAGGGGGGGGATGGGCTTTGTGATGCAACAGCTGGTCAACATCAGCTTCCTGACAGGGTTTAGTCGTCTTTCTCAAGAGAACTCTCTTTACTTTCCTCGCTTTGCAGACAAGAGAAAAACATCTTCGAATGGAATATTTTACGACCGCTGAAATATGATTTGTTATCCGAGAGCCCTCAGATAGATTCAGGAACAAAACAAAAGAAAAAGGACAATTCAGCACATCCTAGAGCTACTATGTCTTATCAGACTAACAAAAGACTGAACATAATTTACAAATGGAAGAAGGAAAGGGGGGAGAAGAGGGAAAAAAAAAAAAAAAAAAAAAGATTTGTGATGAGAGGTAAAACAAACACACACATACAAATATATAATATATATTCTTAAAAAATGGATTCTCTCTATAGTTGATTTATTTATACAGCCGGGGGCTGATGTACAATGCTCTCGTGCCAATGATCTCACACAATGGAAACTTGCAGTACTGTAGATTGCATCTTTTTTTTTTTTTCCTCTCTTCTTTTTTTGTACATTTTTTAAAACCATTTCTTCTTTTTTTTTTCTTCTTTATTTTGTACATTTTTTTTTCTTTAAAACAGAGTTAGGATTCATCGGTAGGCATTTCATTTATGTGATTAAAACAACATGCGGCAAAGAAAAAAAACACAAAAGAAGGGGGACAGAATGTTAAGAAGTTAAGGAGAAGACAGAAGCAGCTGTGGGAGAATCATTTTGGTTATCTTCACAGGTCGGTGCGCTACTCGTTTTAGTTTAGATTTTCCCTCAAAGACCGCCCGGTCCTTCGCCAGGGCATTCGCTGGGCAGGTGAACGCTTCTCAGCGCGAGTAAAAGTGGATTTCTGCTCAGCTGCCGCCCGCACAGCGACGCCTACGACAGCACTACTCCTGCTTTATCCCTCCCTCTCCCTCTCAGCTGTTTGCTCCTGTTATGGTGGGATGGCAAAGTGGGGTGGAGGGGTGGTTGGGAGTTGGATGGGTGGAGGGAGGGGGAGGGGGGGGTTTGTTGGGTCTGATGAGATCAAGAACAATGATGATGGTGGTGATGGTTGCTGCTGTGGTGGTGGTGGTTGTTGTCGTGGACACGGTCCCTCTGTTTACATGTTCCGGTTGACAGGCGTGACGTAGTTGCGGGGGAACATGCCCGTCAGGCCGTGGCAGCCCCCTTTCCACCAGTTGGGGTCGGAGTTGTCGAGGACCTGGATGAAGTCGCCGCGTCGGAAGCCCAGCTCTCCTTCCTCCTGGGGGTCGAAGTCAAAGAGCGCCTGCACATATGTGGGATGCTGCGCAATCGAGAGAAGGAAGGTTCAGCAAGGGGGTCATGTGATGATGATTAGAAACGTATACATACTAAACCTACAAGTATAAACAATAGCACCCTGCTATACAATCTCTCTGCCCCCTCTAACCCGAACCCTCCATCATCGTCTGTCTGTCTGTCTTACCCTCCACTTCTTCTCATCTCTTTATTTTCCCGTGTGGTTTCGGTCACACTTCCTCTCATGTTCCCCTGCAGCTGCCCCTAAGCCTCCCTGTGGCCGTCTTTACCTGCCGTTTAATACTGGCACACTCGTTTAGGACTGCAAACCCCCCCAAAAAAAGCTGTCACAAGGAAGTGTCTGAAACCAGAGTCACCCACCACTGATCAAGTGAAAGAAAAAATAATATACATGAAATATATTTGATGTAAAGGTCATTTCTTTTGTCAAATGTCTGCAGGCAACATTGCTCAAGTTTGTTCGCATATGTTAAAGCTGACAACCAAGCTGCTCATCGTTAAGGACTTATAATATCTATACGAGCATGTATTATTGTAAAAGTTCACCCAATTATGTCAAATATCTCAAATAACATGTTTACTCTAAATAGTTTACAAACCACATTTAAATAAAAGCGTACAGAGAGCAATTCTGTGGTGTTTTGTGTGTTTTAGGAGTACAGCCTCGATTCTTACCTGTGGGACCTGCTCTATGTCTCGCAGGAAGATCTGTTGATTGCGAGAGACTGAGGTGGAGCGGTGGTAGTCCACCAGCTCGTTGAGGGAGTTAAACTTCACCACCCAGAGGAAATACTTTCCCGCCCCGTCGCGTAGAACCTTGAAGTGCTGGACGTCGTTTCCAAACCTGCACAAGGGCACAGAGAGGAAACCTATGAGGAGGTCTCCACCACCGGTACAGTCTCTCACACACACATGTACAGTTGTTAAAGTACAGATATGAATAAAGCTAGTGGAGAACTCAGACATTAATCTTGCTCATCAAATGTCAAAGGATGTGGAATCCGGGCAGTGCAGACAGTAACTATGATCCATATCTGAACTTCAACTTTACATGTGACCCGCTGTGAACTGATGCATCTTTTAGGGAACGTCAGAACATAGAGAGACGGATAAAGATGAAATGAGCTCTGTGTATGTGTGTGTCAGCTAAAACACTGAGTACTGGCAGGGCTGACGTCCAACACACTTATTTAAATGATAACCGGTGAACTCTAACCACCGGAGGGCGGCACCGAGACCGCACCAGAATGAGGAAGAAGGCCGGTAACTCAGACGCACCAAGTATGGAAACAGATGAACTTGATCACATGTGCGGATCGTACTCACTTGACGGAGAGGGAGAAGTCTCCTGGTGCACTCTCGCTCTCTCTGATGAGGAAGGCCCCGTCGTGCCTCTGTTTGTTTAGCATCTCCTCTGCTTTGGCGCGGGGGATCTTCCCGAAGAACCACCTGTGGGGGGGGGGAACAGATGCGTGTTAGCACCGACTGAGCTGACCCAAAGCCAGCCCTGAGTCTTCTTGCTTAGACTGGAGTCTATAAGAACTCTGAATGTTGTCAGTTTTATATCTACAGAGAAAATTGTAAAAAGCTGTACTTTGAGAATATAATAATAATAAATTGATCTATATAGCACTTGGGGCCTGGGGAGCCTGGCCCTTCATGCATTGTGCGAAATGTTCCACTTTTATCGGCCAAAACCTCACATTCACACCTGCGAGTAATTTAGGGTTTCAGTTGAATTCAGAGGACTGAGGGAGGAAACCGTGGAGGGCTGAGTGAGAACATGCAGACATCACACCCACTGCTGGCTGACAGCTTTGACCTGAGGAGTCTGTGGTGTGGAGAGGAGGCGCTAACCGCTGATCCACCGAGCTGCCCAGTGCGCCAGTCAAGTCGCACACCACAAGCACAGACATCTCTTTGGACCACAGAGAGGAGAAACCCCCTCCGTCACAATGCTGCATGTCACACCAGGAAGTAAGTTAACGGTTACACTCGGACTGGCCGGTCCCGAGGAGCTGCATCCGTAAACCAGGAAGTAGATCAGTCATTATCTAATTATAGTGTGACTGCTAACACAAACTAATACTACTGACACACGGTTGTATTCCTCTGTGTCTGTCGTAAAATGTCATCACTTCCGGTTAGACATTTGTGCGGAAATTCAATAATTTGCAGAAGAATTCTTGAGTTCTTGCCCAAAACGTGTGTTGTGAGCTCACGGTGACCTTTTGAATCTCTCTAATCAGTTCGTCCTCGAGTCCAAGATGATGTTTGGGCCAATAAAACAAAAACAAAGAAAAGACATTCCTTCCAGATCGCTCCTGAGACATCACGTTCACAGATTAATCTTCGGATGTAAATACACAGTTCTCCATCACTTCTAAGTGGCGTGCATTTATCTTTAGTTGCACAAATGCTTCTCACACGGAACTGTGAGGAAATGCCGTCAGAAGGAATGAGTGAGAGTGAATAAGATGGATGCAGAGAGAGAGAGAGAGAGAGAGGGAGAGAGAGAGAGAGAGGGAGAGAGAGAGGGAGAGAGAGAGAGAGAGAGGGAGAGGGGGCAAAGCCAGAAGAAGCTCTTCGCTTGTGTAAATAATTAAAAAGTACAGTCAGCCAAAAGATGACATCTCGGCTGCTTTACACGAAGGTGAAAAAAAAAAAAAAAATCAATAATGAAGATGGCCGAGACGAGTCTCTTCCAGCGTTTCATAAGAGTGACAGCGGAGGAGCCATTAGAGGAGGAAACAGCAGGAGGCGGCTACCGGCGACACACCTCCGCCCGCTGCTCCACTGCTCTGCTTCTTCACCGCTGGGCAGAGGGGGGGGGACTTGCTTACAAACAGAGGGGACTCGGAGCCGAGCCACGCTCCATTGTGCCGCGCTGTATAGCGCAGCTGCGTGTCTGTCGGGCCGCGTGGGTGCCTGGTGCCTTTTTTTTCAGGGTAGGCAAACTCACTTCATCAGTGTCACCACTGTTTTTTTTTTGTCCATCGCCGCGCCGGGTAGTTTTTACTTCAATCAAACATTTACTGCAAATCTATTTTCAATCCACAAGGTGAGGCGATATCGCACTAAAAGCTTTCTCAGCGTGTTCTTCAGCTTCTATAAGACAAGTCTGGTTGAAATGATGCCGAACAGCGGATCCGGTTGAAAAGGAGAGCTGGATGACGTACCAGGATGTGGCAAACACTTTTAAAAACGGAGCCCATTAAGGCCGGCCAGCATTAGCCGACCTCTCACAAATCACCGCAGTCTGTGATTTGCAGTTCTTCTGGGATCCGGCCGTATAGTGCAACTTTGGCCCACTGGCTGTTTTCGAAAATAAAAAAAAAGCTGCAGAGAATGATCGGGACTTTGAAAAAGCAGGTACCAGCAGCACGGGTGGCCGGGTGGAAAACACACAGTGAAGTGGTCGGGATGAGTGGCAGGCCGTCGAATTAATCCCCCCGGATGAGAGTGTAATAATAAAGTAATGATCAATGTGAGAGGTGAACATTACGCCACGAGAGGCACAGGCAGCGATAAAAGTCTGGTGACTTTGTTGGCTGTGATAAGGCTGATCTACATACAGTTTCAGAATAACCTGTTAAAAAAGACAAATATTTTTTTACCATTTTGTTTCGGACAACTAACCCAAATATTTCATGTTTTGCTCCATGCCATGCTAAATAGTGTGCAGAAAGCATTGCACTCTATAGTACGACAGAGCAAACACTGCAACACCCTCGTGGTCGTCACCACAATGACGACCACGAGGACTTGAGTCTGTTACACTGGAACGAAAAAAAACACAAGAGCTGTAAAAAAAAACAAAAAAAAAAACACAATGACATCCCCCTCTGTAAAATATATATAGATAGATATATAGATAATCTAGATAGATAGATAGATAGATAGATAGATAGATAGATAGATAGATAATCTAGATAGATATAGAGAGAGAGAGATAGATATATATATAGATAGATATAGGTACATCTGATCGCACCCCAGCAATGATGCAATAAGGTCAATATTCAATTACGCATAAGAGGCCGGGGGCACATTAATAAAGAGAGAGCTAATCTGGCACCGAGCGCAGGTCAAGAGGTGAGGTTCCTGCTGCCAGTGTGTGTGTGTGTGTGCGCGCGCGCGCGCACACACACACACACACACACACACACACACACACACACACACACAC